CTGGGTGAACCAGTGGTATGGGATCCCCATCTGAGGCGAAACTTAAATGATCAGGAAACTCAGGACTTCTCCAATTTGCTAAGCATGCTGCAGCAGGCCAGAATTGACCCCTCAAGGCAAGGTTACATATGGTGGTCCTTCGAAGTTCCAGTAGTTTCTCAGTCAGATTTTTTATCAATCTCTTGTAATCATCTCGGCTGAACCTATTCTATGGTCTTGAATATGGAAAGCAAAGTGGCAGTTGAAAGTGATATTTTTTTGTGGACTGCAATCCTTGACAGAATTCCTACCACACATCACCTTATTTCCAAGGATCTGCCTATAGTCAATCAGTGTGTGCTCTGTCAAGCTGAAGTTGAAGATGCTGCTCATCTTTTGCTCTGGTGCCCAATATCCTACTGTATATGGTGTCATTTCTTGCAATCATTGAAAATAGCCTTGGTCATGCCAGGTGATTTGTCTTCTCTGATAGTGGCTTGGCCTTCTAAAGCATTCAGCAAAAGGGATAAGAGATTACAACAGCTACTTCCTGGGGCACTAAGCTGGACCATTTGGTTGGAGCATAATAGTAGGGTCTTCAATCAGGTGGGAGTAGATCCCAAGCAGCTAATTGGAAGGTCGAAAGGTGTTTGATAGAATGGCCAGGTAAACAGAAGGAATTTAAAGGCACAACTGAAAGGAAATTCATGAATCAGTGGGAAAGGACTAGTTAATGTAAAAGGCTCCTTCTCGATTTCTTCTTACAAGTACCTCTATTCTATGCCTGCCTCTTTGGGTTTCCTTGTAAAGGAATTTTGAGCTAGGCCTCTTCCCCCAAAGGTTTCTGTGTTTTGCTGGGAAGTGTTTCATGGGAAAATTAATATTTTGAATAATGTGCAGAAGAAGAGACCTTTTATGCGTTTGTCCCCAATTTGGTGTATTTTTTGCAAATATAATGGTGAAGTTTGCTGTCATTTACTTATATCCTGCTCTTTTGCTTTGACTATTTGGAATTGGATTTTTGCTCTTTTTGGGTGCTGTGGGAATCTGCCAACAGAAGCAAGATTGTTGCTTGAGTCTTTAGCTTTTGCTTGGTCTACAAAAAGAAAGGGTGGGGGGGGAGGTAATGTGAAGATGCATTAGAGCAGCTGCCTTGTGGACAATCTGGAAGGAAAGGAATGCCAGAATTTTTCCATGATAGGAATGAAATATGTAATTTGTCAGAAGTTAAGGACTGCATTTTGACTAGGGCATACACTGATTAAAGACTACTACTTCCTTCTCATCTTTCTCCTTCAATGAGTTGTGGAAGTGTTGGCCAGAAGTGGCGAGTAGTTCCTCTCATAAGGAGATATTATTGCAGACGGTTTCAACCCCCTGAAGATTTTATTAAATTGAATTTTGATGGCAGCACTCAAAAAGCGCTTCTAGTGTCAGAGGGGCCTTCAGAGAAAAGGACAGCAACATAAAAGCCTTGTTCTCAGGACCTGTGGGGAGTGGAAATTCTAGCAGGGTGGAATTACTAGCAGCTTTACAAGGGGTTCAGCTAGCTAGTCAACTTGATGTGAAGAATTTAATAATTGAAGGTGACTCTAAGGTGGTTGTTGGATTTGGATTCGATTCATTGGTATTTTAGAGATTTTATAAAGAAATTCAGATGGCTAACATAATACATGAATGTGAGGTGCCAATGGGTGTGAAGGTTGGCAAACAATTTTGCTGATTCACTTGCCAAAGGGGTTAACAGGGATAATTTGTTGCGGACTGTTTTGTAATTGTCTGATTCTGTTTTCTTTTCTTTCTGGCTGTTTTAAAGCCTTTGTGTTTAGAATGAGGCTGGATCTTGCACTTTCCTCTGGATGCTTGTAGCAGTCCTATCCTTTGATTAATGAATTAATTTCAATTATCAAACAAAAAAAAACGTTGTAAAGGACTCTTTTTGTGGATTTTGTAAATGACTGAATAGTGGATACAGCCAGGTCACTTACTATACTTTTTGTATAGGAAATATAGACCTATATATCTCTATATTTTGTACTTAGTTCGAGGGACTCTTGCCCCTCTTTTAAAATATATATATATATATGGTGGATTGTCATTATATGATACTATTCTTGTCTATGTGTGTTTAAGGAAGATGGGATATGGGACTTGATGCTTACCAGTAATGACTCAAGCCACACACTGGAGTTTGATCAACTAGGCCCACTAATATACCAAATCTAATGTGCAGTTGTATTAATAAATTTAAATAGAAAAAAAAAATTGATAAATGAGAGTGATTTGTTTGTAAACTTGACCTTGAAAAGGCCTATGACTTAGTGGATTGGGGATTCTTATCACTCGTGCTAAGGAAGTGTGGGTTTGGGGACAAGTGGTGCAAATGGATAAACGGCTGCCTCTCTAGTTGCCATTATTCCATCCTAGTCAACGGGGTAGTCACTGATTTTTTCCCAGCTAGTAGGGGTCTAAGACAAGGTGATCTCACGTCACCTTTCCTTTTCACCTTAGTCGCCGATGCTTTTAGTAGACTCCTTTCAGAAGCGGATAGAGCCAGATCTCTAAGAGGGTGGAGAATAGGTAGAGACAGAGTGTCAGTAACCCATCTCCAATTTGCAGATGACAATTATCTTTTGCGAAGGTTGAGATTTTACAGAGGTAAGGAATATGAAGGACTTAATAATTCACTTTGAGAGGGCCTCGAATTTGAAGGTAAATTTTGAGAAGAGTTGTGTTGTGAGGGTTAATTTGAATAGAGAGGAGGTGGAGTCTATAGCAGCCTTGTTAGAATGCACTTGCTCTCAGTGGCCTCTATCCTACCTAGGACTTCCTCTAGGTGCAAAACCAAAGGAAAGTAGGTTCTGGAATCGGTGGTTGAAAATTTTGAAAAAAGATTGGCAGCTTGGAAGAGGAAGTACATCTCCGTGGGTGGTAGAGTTACTTTGATTAAAGCAACTTTAGCCAACTTGCCTTTATACTTCCTGTCAGTCTTTAGAATTCCTAAAGGAGAGGCAAAAAGGTTGGAAAAACTGATAAGGGACTTCCTATGGGAACCTAATGAAGAGAAAAAAGATCACTTGATTAAGTGGAAAGTGGTGAGTCGGAGCAAAAAAGGAGGACTAGGCTTAGGGAATGTGGTGAGTAAGAATGAGGTTCTTTTAGGTAAGTGGCTTTGGAGGTGGCCCCTGGAGAGGGAGAGGTTGTGGCATGAAGTTGTGAAAAGTATCCATGGCTGTTTTGAATCAGGTTGGGATGCGGGGGTATCTCGAAGGGCTTTGCTCACAACACCTTGGAAGGCTATCTCTGGCATTCTCCCTAAATTCCTCAGGTTTGTAAGGTATAATGCTCGTTCTGGAAACTCTATTCTTTTTTGGGAAGATACTTGGGTGAGCACTCAACCCCTAAAAGACCATTTCCCTTCTCTATTCCATCCCCCTCTTTAAAAAGAAACCCATTTCTTGGTTCCTTCCCCCCTGGTTTGCCCTTTGGCTTTAAATAGGGATTTTGGGTTTCGGAGAGGGTTAAGGGATGAAGAGTTTCATTGTGTCTCAGAGCTGTTGTTGCTTCTAGATTCGGTGTGTCTGGAGCCCACCAACCCGGACAAAAGAGTCTGGGCTCTAAACCTGGTTGGCTCTTTCACTTGCACATCTTTCTTTAAAGCCCTTTGCTCTAACCCCTCCTCTCAGATCTTCCCTGTTAAAGAGGTTTGGTCAAGGCCAATACCCCCCAAAGTAGCAGTTTTCTGTTGGGAAGCCTATTATGGTAAGATCAATACTGTGGAAAACTTGCAAAAGAAGAAACCTTTTTTGTGTTTGTCCCCAAATTGGTGCTTTATGTGTAAAGTGAAGGGTGAGGACTGTAACCATTTGYTGATATCRTGYTCCTTTGCTGCCAATATTTGGAATTGGGTTGTTTCTTTATTTGGGTGCAGGTGGAAYTTGCCCTCTRAAGTAAAGCTGYTGTTCACTCCAGATGCTCTTGGGAGATTGACAAAAAGGGGGAAGATAATGTGGAAATGTATTAGAGCCGCCACCTTGTGGATCTTATGGGAGGAGAGAAATGCTAGAATATTTCAAGAAAACGAAAGAAGCCTTGCTGAAGTCAAGGAATGTATATTGACAAAGACAATTTCATGGCTGAAATCTTCACAATTGTTGGCAGATTTCTCCTTTGATGACTTAAGGAGAAATTGGAAAGCAGTGGCTTCTACAGTCTCCACCAAGAACAAATTACAAGTTGAATGGAAACCCCCACCGAATGGAGGGGTAAAATTGAACTTTGATGGTAGCTGCCAAGGTAACCCAAGGCCATCCGAAATTGGAGGGATTCTGAGAGACGAAGACAGCAATATGTTGTCTCTTTTCTTAGGACCAGTGGGTGAAGGTGATTCTGTAAGGCAGAGCTACTAGCAGCGGTACAAGGTATACAGATAGCTAGTCAATTAGGAGTGAGCAATTTGTTAGAAGGAGACTCCAAGGTAGTAGTGGGCTGGCTGAATAGCCCAGACACAGTTTGTTGGRGCTACAGGGATCTGKTRRAGAAAGTTAAATGGATGACAAGAAATATGACTGTTAGGTTCCAGTGGGTTAGCAGATCAGCAAGGGGTGTCAAGGGGTGATCTGTTTTGGGCTAATTTGTAATTTGTTTCACAGGTTTGGGCATGTTTTAGTGCTTATGATTCAGTCCTTGAGGGAGGTAACATCTCGTGCCTCTTCCTAGGCTGTATGTATTTCTGAACTTAAATAGAAAAAATTCAATAATGGACCCTAAACTTTCTATGGAAAAGTGGATGATCATTGCATTACTGTGTGACAGAAGCAAATGGCATATGCAATTTCACAATTACTGATTGAGACAAGTCGAGCACCATACAGGGACTTGATCAACTAAGGCCTAACCCAAGAATTATATTTACCGTATAATCTTATCATACAACTCAAAAATGCAACTCAAGAGCAAAAACCAGCATTATTACATAGAAAGGAAACGAAAAGAAAGCTAGTGGTTTCCCAAGGAGCTACCTGACCCATATCACTAAGCATAAGATCACCCTCAACTTCCCTTTCCAATGCAATATCTGCATTTAAAGAAGTGATTGATAAAGGACCTTGAAGAGAAACGAATTGGGAAGACCCCAAAGAAAACAATTTCAGCTATAAGAAAAATAAACAGTTGACATACTAAGCATTGATTGTGATATATCCAGGCCAATCCATCGGTGACCGTTTTCAGATAGTGTTTCTCCACTAAGACCCGATCCACAACCTACAAACAACAAAAATAAAGTTACAAAGTTGACTTCCCAAGTTTCATCCAATATGACGTTAAGCACAAACAAAGCAGGTAAAAGGTGGCTGCAAAAGAGAGCCACTGCCCACTTTAAGAAAAGAGTCCTATTACACTCATCAAAAAAAGAAAAGAACCCTATTACATAACAGAGTGAAGGTTCTGTGCAAGCAAGGGCTGGTGATGGAACTTCTCTCAAGCTCAAAATTCTCAAGTCCAACTTCACCAGATGAATTTCATTCCTTAATTTTAAAGCATTTCAAAGTACCTATTCAAGTTTCTTGACCAATAAGCTGTAACTTGATCAGAAACCAGCATTACAAGGATATGGATACAGGAGTCAGAATTGACATACAACTATGAATCTAACTCAGTAACATGGACACATAGACACATCCAATAAATAGAATAATTGTAAAGGCTCAACACTCCATCTCTTGTTTACTCCAGTGTTTTAAAAGGCACGGGAGGCATACACCTGGAGGTGTGCCTCCAGGGGCAAGGCACCCCCAAAATGCCTCGAGGCGTATGCCAGAGGGATTGATACCTCTGAGGTGTCCGCGTTTTAAAACATTGGTTTACTATCATATTGCATACCTAAGCGAAAGGACATAAAGTAAACCTAAAAAGTTTGTCTTTGTTACCTATGAACATTTCATAGGAAATAAATCAGTAGTAGTTCATTTATGACAGATAAGGAGAAAAATGGAAAATGATATGCAGAATGTCCATAAAAAATGGAATAAGTATTAGTTCATATCTTGTACCTTATAGCCTGTTGCCCTCTTGTGGGGTAGTTAGGTGATCTTTTTTATGCAATGAACTGAATTTCTTACTAATCAAAAACAAAAAAAAAAAGATTCCCTCAATAATCCATGAAAAAATGGAATTTGATACATATCCAACGCAGTTATGGGAACAATTTTTTCATTGTGCCTATGCATGAAAAAAGATTAATCATAATGACTAAAGTAGTACAACCAACTCTTGTTGCATTGTGCCTATGCATCTCAGTTATCAGAACAATATTTCTCTCTAGTGGAGTGTGTTGGGTGCCTCCTACAGATAGCAAAGAGTTGTTTAGCACAAATTGGATGAGATGTTACACAAAGAGACAAAATTCTGTGGCAATGTGTTAGGGGTACTGTGATATGGAGTCTGTGGCATGAAAGGAAATGCTAGAAAGGAATGAAAATCATTAGCTAGAATGTGAGAGGCCTAGGAAGTGCGAGAAAGAGGAGGGTGATTAAGGATTTGCTAAAAAGGGAAAATCCTGAAATTGCGCTACTGCAAGAAACAAAACTCTCCAAACCAGACAAAAGGTGGATTAGGAGATTTTGGAGATCTAGGGGTATAGGTTGGACCTCAGCTCCCTCTTGGGGAGACTCAGGGGGAATCATCACTCTTTGGAAGGGTGATGTGGTGGAAGCAGTGGAGGAATTGATAGGTAGATTTTCAGTCTCAATTAAATTTAGGAATGTGGTGGATGGTTTTGTTTGGGTTGTAACCAATGTTTATGGCCCTAATAGTTATAGAGAAAGGAACAAAATGTGGGAGGAGTTGTATGCAATTCAGAGCCTATGGGATGGTTCCTGGTGTTTGGGAGGGGATTTTAATGTTACATGATTCACTAGAGAATCTAGCAGTCCCCAACAGACAATTACAACTAGTATGAGGAAATTCAATGGCTTTATTGAAGATTGTAAGCTAAAGAAAATCCCACTTTTAAACTCTAGATTCACCTGGTCCAACCTACAGGAAAATTCCCTCTGCTCGAAAATGGGATAGATTCCTTTTTAACTTAGACTGGGAGAATCACTTGGGAGATTTGGTTTCTAGAGCCTTGCCTAGGGTCATTTCCAATCTTTTTTTTTTTTTTTTGATCAATGGGTCATTTCCAATCATTGTCCCATCGAAATAGGGGTGGAGTCATTTGTCAATGGAACAAGAACTTTCCAGATTTGAAAACATGTGGCTAACACACCTGGATTTTGTGAATAAATGAAGTATAGGTGGGATGAGGAGTTAAGCAGGGTAAAGTGGAAGGGCATAAAATTCCATAAGAAATTGCAAAGACTCAAATGCAAAATAAAAGAGTGGAATAGGGATCATTTTGGGAAAGTTTACGAACAAAAATGAGATTAATCTCTCGGATTAAAGAGTCGAATGAAAAAGAATCTCAAAATATTTTGAATGAGGGTGATAGAGAGTTGAGAAGACAATTGAAAGGATCTAGAAGAGATGCTTTTGAGGAAATTATTGAAGGCAGAAATCAAGGCATAAGTGGATTAATGAAGGCGACGGGAATACTAGATTCTTTCATGATTTAGCAAATGGGAGGAGGAAGAATTTTGTGACCAAACTTGAGATAGGAAAGGAGGTGATTACCAATTAGGATAAGATAGCCAAGAAGTTCGTGGACCACTTCAAATAAATATTTAGAAAACCCATACATGAGAGATTAGTGATGGAAGGGGTGAATTGGCCAAGGGTGATCAAGGAAAGGGCTATGTGGTTAGAACGGAATTTTGAGAAAGAAGAAATTAAACAAATAATGTTTTTAATGGACAAAGACGAGGCTTTTGGCCCTAACAGGTTCACAATGGCTTTCTAACAAGCAATGTTTTTGAAGAAACACACATAGTAAGCCATGGAGTTAATGCAACTTTTTTGGCTCTAATCCCTAAGAAGTCTGATGCTAGCCACCCAAAGGATTTTAAGCCGATTAGTTTAGTGACGAGCATTTATAAAATCTTGGCTAAAGTGCTCTCCCTGAGGATTAAAGCAATTCTCCCCTCCATTATTAGTTAAGTTAAGTCCAAGGGGCTTTTATTCACGGGCGACAAATAATTGATCAAATCTTGATTGCCAATGAATGTGTGGAGGAGATGAAAAGGTCTGGAAAAAGAGTCTTTGTCTATAAATTAGATCTTGAGAAGGCCTATGAATTGGTGGATTGGTAGTTTCTCTTAGAGGTGTTGACAAAGTGCGGGTTTGGGCAAAGATGGTGTAGCTAGATACTTGGGTGTATTAGTACCTGTCACTACTCAATATTGGTGAATGGAGTAGTGAAGAACTTCTTTCCAGGTTGTAGGGGTGTCAGGCAAGGGAACCCACTTTCACCTTTTCTTTTTACCCTAGTAGTTGATATTTTTAGTAGAATCATCACTACGGCCAATAGGGAAGATCTTATAAGGGGTGAAGGATAGATAGAAATCAAATTCCAATCACCCATCTTCAGTTTGCAAATGACTTGATGATTTTTGTGATGGGGGTGCTAGTGAGAAGGTAGCAGAGTAAAAAGAGGTGATAAGAGGGTTTGAAAGAGTGTCCAATTTGAAAATAAATATGGAAAAGAGTTGTATAGTAGGTATCAATTTGGAGGATAGAGAGGGTGAGGCTATTGCAACCTGTCTAGAGTGCACCATCTCTTCTTGGCTATTGTCCTACTTAGGGCTTTTGTTAGGGGCAAACCTTAGGGAGGGTAGGTTTAGGACTCCAATGGTTGAGTAGTTTGAGAAGAGATTAGCATCGTGGAAGAACTACATTTCTTTGGGTGGTAGGATCACCTTGATAAGAGCTACCTTGGCAAACTTACCCACTTACTTTCTTTCTGTCTTTAGGATACCACCTAGGGAAGCTAAGAAGCTAGAGAAACTAATAAGGGATTTCCTGTGGGAACCAGGACAAGGGAAGAAGGACCATTTGGTAAAGTGGGAAATTGTGTGTAGAAGCAAAGAAGAGGGTGGCCTGGGCCTAGGTAAGGTGATTCAGAAAAATCTAGCGTTGTTGGGGAAGTAGTTGCGGTGGCCTTTGGAGAAAGACAAATTATGGCATGAAGTAATGGGAAGCATTCATGGAAGCTCAAAGAATGGGTGGGATGCTGGTGTATCAAGGCAGGCTACTTTGACAACACCTTGGAAAACCATTCACAGTGTTCTTCAATTTGTCAGGTATGATGTTTACTTTGGGAACAGTGTCCGATTTTGGGAGGATATTTGGGTTGGTAATCTTCCTTTAAAGAACCTTTTTCCCTTCACTTTTCCCCATGTCTATATAAAAATGAGGTCATTTCAAACTTTATCACAATTGAGGGTACACCTTTGGCTCCAAATTGGGACTTTGGTTTTCGTAGGGGGTTAAGGGATGAGGAAATTAATTCCTTATCTGGGGTGTTTTAAGGGATGAGAATGGGATTGTTTCTGCCATGTTCTCAAAGTCGAGATCCATAAGGTTATGGAAGGAATCCAGAAAACCAGGGAGATGAATATCGAAAACTTATAACTGAAGGGGACTCAGAGGTGGTGGTAGGATGGCTGAATAAAGACAACAATGGCTTATGGAATTACAGCAATATGAGGAGGAAATTTAGATGGCTGGCTCGAGAAATGGAAATTAAAATCAGTTGGGTAAAAAGATAAGCTAATTCTTTTGCTGATGGGTTAGCTAAACAAGGGGTGGAGAGGGAGTCAATATTTTGGGCATAGTTGTAATTTTTATTTTTTCTCTTTCTCTTTTTTTCCTTTTTTCCTTTCTTGGGGCTCAAGTTATAGCTGGAAGATAAGAAAGCTTGTCTTCCTCTGTAATTATTATTGAGATTATTTAATGAATTGTGTTATTGATCAAAAAAAATTAATTCCTTATCTAATCTGTTCTGTCTCTTGAATCAAGTCTGTTTGGAACCATCTAAGCCAGACAATAGGATTTGGCTTCCTCAGCCCAAAGGGCCCTTTTTCTTGTGCTTCTTTTTTTAAGTCCCTTTGTCAGTTTCCCTCTCAATTGGTTTTCCCTTCAAAGGAAATTTGGTGTAGGCCAGTTCCCCCGAAGATAATGGCTTTTTGTTGGGAAGTGTACCATGGGAAAGTGAACACTTTAGATAATCTGCAAAAGAGAAAACCTTTCCTTTGTATTTCACCCAACTGCACCCAACTGGTGTACTCTCTGTAGAGCTCACATGGATGATTGTTATCACCTACTAATGTCCTGTCCTTTCTCTGTAGAATTGTGGGATTGGCTTTTTTCATTGTTTGGGTGCAGGGAGAACATGCCAGCAGAAGTGTGCATGATCTTTAACCCTTCTACCTTTAGTTGGCCCAAAAAAAGAGGGAGAATTGTGGAGATGTGCTAGAGCAGCCTTGCTATGGACAATTTGGGAAGAAAGGAATGCTAGAATCTTTCAAGACAAGGAGAGAAGCAGTCAAGATTTGAAGGAGTGTGTGATGAATAGGGCAATCCATTGGATGAAGACTAGGAACTTTTCCATCACTTTTCCTTTTCAGACTTGTAGAGAAATTGGCTAGCAGTGGCAAGGTGCTCTTCTGGGAAGACTAAGGCATCTACAAGATGGACTCCACCGCTTGAAGGTTCAATGAAACTGAATTTTGATGGGAGTAGTCAGGGCAATCCAGGGCGCTTTGGAATGGGAGGGGTCTTGAGAAATGAGGCTGGATGTATTATACTGCTTTATTCAGGTCCTTTGGGATTTGAGGATTCAGTCAGAGCAGAACTATTAGCAGCCATACAAGGAGTGCAACTCGGAAATCAGTTAGGAGTAGGACAGCTTGTTATAGAAGGGGACTCCAAGGTGGTGGTGGGGTGGCTGCAGAACCTTGAGGAAACTATATGGTGCTATAGAAATGAAGTCAAAAAAATTTAAGTGGCTGACAAGGAATATGTCTGTTAGTACACAATGGGTGGGGAGATCAGAAAATGCTTTGGCCGATGGCTTAGCTAAGCAAGGGACAAATAGGGAAGTTTTGTTTTGGGCTCAGCCGTAATGTTCATCTTTTCCTTTTCCTTTTAAGTTTCTTTGTAATCAGTTGAGAGAGGCTGCAGCTCATGCCTCTCCATGGGCTGCTGTATGAGATCTTCATTTTCTTTTGAAGTAATAAAACTATCCTTATTCATCAAAAAAGTATTTGAGAAGGCAAGAGGGGTGGAGTTATTTGAGCTCACCATGATTAGAGCTGCCCATTGGGCTCTGGTGACCAAAGAATTCAAAGGTATTTCCCTAAATGATTTGTTACGGGGATGGAAAACTATTGCTGACTTTCAGAAGAGGAATTCGGGGAGCATGGTCAGTTGGTGTGCACCAGCAGCACAGAAGCTTAAGTTAAACTTTAACAGGTGCAAGCATGGGAACCGAGGGAACTCAGGCATTGGTGTGTTGTCAGGAACCATAATGGGAACATCCTACTCAACTACTCTAGGCCTATTGGGTTTGGTACTCTTTAAGAGATGAATTGAAAGCTTTATTACAGGGGCTGGAAGTGATGAGGAACTGAGGATAAAGGACTTTAAGAACATAGAGGTGGAAGGTGACTGTCAAACTCTAATCTGTTGGATGAAGAAACTGGACCTGATACCTTGGAAGGCTAAGCCATTGGTGAGACAGGCACAATAGTGGGGTTCCTTATTGAATACTTCATTCAATTGGGTGCCTAGGAGTGCTAGTGGCCTGGATGACTCTTTAGCTAGGGCTAGGGTAGAGAAAAAAAAAGCTGGAATGGGGTTGTCCAGGACTGGGTGGTAACCTGTAATATTTGTTTTCTCTCTTATGTATTCATGATGTTAGTACTCTGTGCCTTCTGGAGGTGTTTTGTTTTAGGCAGTGGTTTCCATTTTTAATGAAAGTAATCTGTTGCTTATCAAAAAAAAAATGACTAAAGTAGCATAAGATTGGAATCTAGCTCCACTAAACCTTCATGTTTCTTATTGATAAAAAAGGTATTGAACTAAAAGATTTGAAAAGCACCTATATCAAGCAGCAGTCTGGGCACTCCATCATCCGGCAAAGCAAGCAGCTCCAGTGCTCTCTCTGAAAGCTTTGACTTTTGATACACCAAAGCAGAAGCATTAGCAAATGGATTCCTTCATAATCAAAAATTAATCTCAAATCCATCCTAATGCCTGATTTTCTATAATATTAAATTATCTATTCAATAGTTGGTTCAACTATAAACAAGAGTTTTTTTTTTTTTAACATCCCACATTACATGCAGCAATGTTTCAGTAAAATACACGTCAAGATATCTGAAACCCATTAATAAATTTGATCAAAAAGAAAAAAGTAAGTGAACCTAGGGAAAAGGGGGGAGGGGGCACTGGGTTGATTAAGTTAAAAGTAATAAACAAGGCATGACTGTTGAAAAATACAAATTACAGTTGCACCCAGAATAGTTTTTGTGTTTTCTGTATGGAGCTGCCTCGTGCCTCTCTAAGGGGATTTTCATGTAACCAATCTTTGAATTAATAGAATATGATTCTTTACTTATCAAAAAAAAGGTAATAAACAAGGCCCTACTTAGTAGGTGGTTGTGGTGGTTTGGAGAGGAACACATTCAGCTTTAGAGGCAGCAGGTAATAAGTGAAGTATGGTGTTGTCCCTATGGATTAGGAGACTCTCATGCCTGCCCAGTCCTACAGCTCTTCCCTATGGAAGGGAATAAGGAATCTAAAGCAGAATTTTAACACAAATATTTGAATAAAACCTGGTAATGGTGAACATATTTATTCCTGGACTGATGTTTGGTGTGATGAACGGGTTCTTTGTAATGTATCCAAGCCTTTATAACATCGCTGACAATAAGAAGGCATCTGTTGAGGAGTGTACAGGATGGGTTGGCTCTCAGTTGGTGTGGGTACCCAAATTCAAAAATAATTTGAATGACTGGAAAGTGACACTTATTGGAGGGCAGCTGTAGAGATTATGAGGCATTCAGTTGAACACCCAGCAGAGAGGTTCTCAAATTTGGCTGAGGGAGCATTCAGGTTCTTTCTCCAACAAATCTTGTTACAAAATGCTGATTAGAGAGTTCTAAGCTATTCCATGGAGTTGGATTTGGAGATCTCAGGTCCCATCCAAGGTTATCTTTTTCGTTTGGGCCAATGTTTTCAAAACGCCATTGACCCAGGCAGTGGAACCACTCAGCCCAGAAACTGGCTACCATTTCGGTTCCTTCTACTGCCTGGCCCATTATTTTGTAAAAATACATTGAATTGGTCAACAAACCAATTACCTAGACAGTTTAACCACTGAACCATTCAACTCCAGCAACAGTTCACAGTTTAAATAAAAAAACAAATTATTTATTAAAAACTAAAATAACAAAAAACAAGAACAGTTGACTGGCTGGTGGGGGAGAGAGAAAGAAACTGACCGGTTGGTGAGGAGAGAGAGGAGGAGAGAGAGAGAGAGACCTGACCAGCTGATGGGGAAGAGAGAGAGAGCGATGAGATGAGAACAGAAACCTGAGAGAGAGAAATCTGAAGGAGGCAATCATCTTCTTCTTCGTCTCCTTTCTTTCTTTCTTCTTTCTCTGCCACTCTTCCCATTCTCTCCTCTCTAATAATATGTATATATGACCTATGTATTTTCCTAACCTAACCTAATATTCCAATCTAATGGCCAGAATGCAATATACAATGTAAATTGAACTCAATCATTTTGACCTATTTGACCCAACCAGTTGAATTGCTGACCCAGGAACCAGAGGAAAAAGCAGTTCTATTTCTGGGTCAGTTCTTAAAACCTTGGTTTGGGCTGCTGCTGGAATAGGATTAAGACTGAGGTTGCTTTTGAAAAAGGGTATGAATTTGCACAATGTCTACTGCTTTGTGGGGAGTCACCAATTCAACTGATCATTTGCTTATTCATTGCCCATTTTTCCTTCTATCCTTTTAGTTTAGAGGTACTTTCTTAATCTATTCTGGAGACATTGTCCTTGATCGGTAGAGAATTTGTTATCTTCTTGGAGAGTGGGTTGTTTTTCTATTGAATGGAGAATCCATTGGAATTTGCTGCCCTTCGCAGTTTTCTGGGGGTTTGGAAGGAGATGATTAATAAGGTGTTTCAAGGGAAATTTTCCTCTCACAAGGTTCTGGTTTGCAAGATTGCATGATTTCCAATTCGGTGGGCATCAGTACTACACCAATTTTCTGGGATTAAAGCTATCTCTTTCAAGGAAGATTCATTTTTTATGAGTCCAAGATATAATGTATATGCTATAGCCTATAGTGATACATGTATAGCATTTTGTAAACCCCTTCTCTGAGGGTGTCTCACCCTCTTTATAGTAATAATAATTCCATACAATACAATTTTTTGCCACTATTCAGAAAAAAAAAGGAAAAAATGGTTTGCTTAAAATAAAACTAGAAAACAGAAAATGCCTAGTTTTGGTTATTACATTATCTAAATAATTTGTTATTAACCAATTAAATATAAATTATAGACCATTTATATACAATAATTATTGATTGGTATAATAGTTTGTTTTCAATTCTACAAGAAATACCACAGAGAAAAATCGGAAAATCCATCTTAATTCGCTAAAAACCAAGCTAAGTTCAGATATGGAACTAATCGCTTATATTTTAAATATAAATACTAAAAAATTCGCTAATTATCAGCTTAAAACAACTTAAAATAAAATTTACCTGAATTTCGATTATCCGAGATGAAGAAGTATACTTCCGAGCCTCGGCATCGTCATAGAATATCTCCGGAGGAGCTTGTAACTCAGGCCTCGAAGACATCTCTTTCACTCCAACTAAGAAAACCAGATGCCGAGTTCTTCGTACAACCCCTAAAATCTAACACACGATAGAATTATTACCGACTTACACAAACATTAAAAAAAATGAACTTTCAAAAATTGTTACACTTTTTTTGACATTTATCTTTTCACAGGACCTCAAAGTCCTAACGCTCAAATATAAAGTTTTGATCTTTGAAGCAATTTATATACATTAAAAGGAAAAAAGCCGATGGCCATAGAAAAAAAAAGAGTTCCAAATCATATCCTCACCAAAGAATTAGCATGCTTAACCATTAAAATTAAAAAAAAAAAAAATCAGAAAAAACACTTAGAATTATGGTTACCTGATTCCGGTTAGTTTTGATTCCTCTGAAATCCCTTAAAGCAGCGGAAGCCTTTTCTCTCCTACTTCACTCCCACTAGCCTCCGGTGCTGCAAAAGAGGGGGTGACGACAGGTATCGTTAGGGGAATTATATATCTAGTATTTTAAATGACGAAACTACCCTTTACCCGCTCAAACGTTAGGGCTGCAAACTGTATCCAATTAATCGAATTCAAATTCGAATTCGGATTCGATCTATCAACGTCATCCGAATTATATATATGGATGTATCCCTATCCTATCTAGGGGTGCAAGTCGGGCGGGTTGGGCCGGGTTTATGGTCAACCCAGGCCTGGCCCTAAAATTTGAGCTTAAGGCCCGAACCCGGCCCGAGCCCGAGGTCAAGCCTGATTTTTTCAATTCGAGTCCAGCCCACCCTCTATTTTGATGCATTTGGGTTGGGCTCGGGCCCAAGCCAGGTTTAAGTTGGTTAATGAATTCATTCTAAAATTATACATATATAAATGTGCAAATATATACATATATTTATGTGTATATGTAAATATGTATGCAAAATATCTATACAAATATTATATATACAAATATGTATGTATATATATGTAAATATGTATACAACATTTACATATATATATATATATATATATATATATGTGTGTGTGTGTATAAATGTATATAATTGGGCCCGGCTCAGGCCGGGTTCAGGCTACTTAAGGGCCCCAAAAAAAAAAGCCGACTTCTTGGGCCTGAGCCCAGCCCAAGAACCGAAAATCCAAGCTCAACCCATGTAAAATTCTAGGTTGGGTCAGTTCGGGCTCAAGTTGGGCCCGCCCAAGTTGCACCCCTAATCCTATCTCATAAATTTAAGCCTGTAAATGGTATTTTTTATTTTTTGAAATAATTAGATTGTAGTCCACTTCAGAAATCTGAAATTACAGCCCCCTCTACTAGTAGCCCTCTTATAAACCGCATCCTGCCTATGGCTTTGACATCAATCCACATGATTCATCCCACCTGTACATTGGGGCTAGGATTTCTGAAGTGGACTAAACAATAAAAACCCCTTATTTTTTTATCAGATAAGACAAGAGGGGCTACACAAGACCCGGGGGTAGCACGTCCCGAAAAATCACTCGCACAAATGTAAGAACTAGCTAGGCATAAATTGTAGAGACAAACAGGAAGAAGAAAATGAATTTGTAAGAGCTTCATGGGCGATGATGTTCTTCTTCTCCAGGCACCTAGCAATGATGTTCTTCATTCTCCAATTATGAGCCTCCCAAGCAGCCCATGCCTAGTTGATAGTTGAATCACCCAAACGGTAGGCTTTGACATCAATAAATTCCCCTCTACAATTCTTTGCAATAGTCGCCATAGAACAAACGTTCCCATTGACATAGGAAGCATCGAAATTGATCTTAACAGTGTCATTGTTTGGATTGTTCCACAATGAATCCAATTCTTCATTCTTTTGTTTTCATTAGGATTAATTTGGTATATTGACTTCTCTAGATAAACACTCATAGCTTGATCTATCATAATTTGAGGCAGAGTTTCTATGTTGTTAAACACTCTCCGCAGGTCTCTACTCTTCTAGAGGTACCATAAGGTAAATGTCATTTCTCCATTACCTCGCCACAAGGGGCACCATTTTAGGATAGGTTCTATTCCACCAATTACTAAGGTTACCATCTTTCTCTTTCAACCCTTCTAGATCCGAGGTTAATGTCAACCAAACTTGCATAAACACAATTTCTGAATATGTGATTAACATCCTCCATCTCATCACACCGGTTACAAGCATCATCAATGTCAAACCCCCGATGTCTAAGCAACTGGAAGCTTGTTGTTTAATATTAAGAGATAAACATTCTTATCTTAGGGGGGCCATTTGAGATTCCACACCCTAGTGATCCATTTCATATAATTAGAAAAGTGATCCAAATTTTCTTTAGCGTAATATGATGATTTGATTGAAAATTTACCATTTCTATTTGAGTTTCCAAAATATTTTATCCTTATTGCCCGATAAGGAGACAAAAATGGACTTAAGTTTGTTCCATATTTGGATTGGAACAACATTGCAAATTGTTTGCTGGAGAACAACAGCCGAAGAAGAAGAAGAAGAAGAAGAAGAAGAAGAAGAAGAAGAAGAAGAAGAAGAAGAAAAGGAGATCTGAGAATGGTAGCTTAGTCACTTTAGCCGGACCTAGAATCTTATATAAGTATTCACAATGTAATGTTACAAGAAATGATTAGAATGCCCCAGATTAGTTATGGGATACCTTAACATAAAAGGAATAAAACAAGTTTAGGCCCAATAACTAAGGCCAATAATAAGCTCAAGAACTTAAAACATAAATAAGACTAACATAAACACTAAACCAATTGAACCAACAYTCYYCCTCAAGCTAAGCATGGATGTCAGTCATGTTTAGCTTGCCAAGTAAGTCTAAGAATTTCATTGAAGCTAGTCCTTTTGTTAGCACATCTGTAATCTGCATCTCGGAAGGAGTATAAGGGATATAGAGTTCCCCTTAGACTATCCTTTCTCTAACAAAGTGTCGGTCAATCTTAATATGTTTCATCCTATCATGTTGCACTGGGTTATTTGCAATGTTGATGACAGCCTTGTTGTCACCATACAGCCTGAGAGGACACTCGACCCTTATCCCGAGCTCACCAAGAAGGGTCCTAAGCCACAAYAGTTCAGCAACACCATGAGCCATAGCTCGATATTCAGCCTCTGCACTTGATCTAGCAACCACATTCTGTTTTTTACTTTGCCATGTAACCAAACTCCCTCCAACGAACGTGCAATACCCAGAAGTAGACTTCTTATCTCCAACAGAACCCGCCCAATCTACATCAGTATATGCTTCAATTTCAATTTTATTGTGTTTTTTGAATAAAATTCCTTTTCCTGGGCAAGTCTTCAAATACCTAAGAATCCTTTCTGTTCCTCTCATATGAGGAATCTTTGGAGAGTGCATGAACTAGGCTGACAACATGTATGGCATAAGCAATATCTGGTCGAGTGAGAGACAAATATATCAATTTCCCTACCGGTTTTTGGTATCTCTCTTTATCAAGGTAGTCATCTCCAACTGATTCCTATAGACAATGATTATGTTTTATTAGAGTATCTGCTGGTCTACTCCCCATCATACCTGTCTCCTCTAGAAGATCAAAGACGTACTTCCGTTGACATATATAAATGCCCTCTTGTGACCTAGCAACTTTAATTCCAAGGAAGTATCTCAGATGGCCCAAGTCTTTGATCTCAAACTCAAATGCCAAGAATTCCTTCAATCGTTTTATCTCTTCTAAATCATTCCCTGTAATCACCATATCATCCACATAGACGATGAGTGTCGTAAGTCTGCTATCCTATTTCCTTATGAACAAAGTATGATCTACACCACTTTGAGTGTATCCCACTTTCTTCATGGCTCCATAGATCTTCTCAAACCAAGTTTGAGGGGATTGCTTAAGACCATATAATGCTTTTCTCAATCTACACACTTTCCCATCAAAACCATAACCTGGTGGAGGATTCATGAATACCTCTTCATGTAGATCGCCATTTAGGAAAGCGTTCTTCACGTCCAACTGATATAGCTCCATGAGAAGTTTGCAACTAATGACAATAGAACCCAGATTGTATTGAGCTTTGCAACTGGAACAAAAGTCTCTTTGTAGTCAATCCTTTCCTTTTGAATAAACCCCTTCGCCACTAGTCTGGCCTTGTATCTTTCAATGAACCCGTCCTCCCTATGCTTCATAGTGAACACCCATTTGCATCCCATAGTGCTCTTCCCTTCTGGTAGATCCACTAATTCCCAAATCTTGGCTTTCATTAAGGCTTTCATTTCTTCATTCATAGCATCTCTCCATCTTGGGTCAGACACTGCCTCTGAGTACCTAGTAGGGACATGCATAGAAGAGAGAATAGACACAAAGGAATAATAACGAGGAGATAAACATGAATAAGAAACATATTCAGCAATGGGGTGTTGGATAGTACAATAATGGATAGGTTTACAAAGAGCAATAGGGAGATTCAAATCAGAAGTATGAGTGATAAGATTACTTGGAGTTGTTGAGATAGATTGATTCGAGTCTGATCGGTTGCTGCTATGAGTTGGAGAGTCTTTTTTTCTTCTATTGTAAGTAATTCTCATATCATTTTGTTGTCTATTAGTGTCCTCAGTTACATCTGCAACATCAAGAGTGGTAATAGGTTCAATGGGAGCCTTACTAGATTCACTTGGGGTGCTACAACTAGGAGGATCAGGAGGAGAAGATGGAAGGCTCGGGGCTGAAAGAGGCACAGAAAAAGAGGGAGAAGAAGAATCCTCTTCCATCTCACTAGTCTCCCCTTGAAGAGGATTCTGGAAAGAATGAAAATAGGATTGAGACTCATTTTGACGTACTTCTTCTTGGTAACTGGATTATAACACTTGTAACCCTTTTGTGTAGGAGAGTACCCTAGAAAGATTAATTTCGTAGCCCTAGGATCCAATTTGGTCTTCTTTGGATCCTTTACATGAATAAAACATACACAACCAAAGACTCTAGGTGGAAGAGGAAAGTTTGGAAGATTAGGGTAAATGATAGAGAAATGAGTTTTCATACCCAACATCTTAGATGGCATCTGATTTATCAGATATGATGCGGTAAGGACTGTTTGAGACCAATAGTGCTTGGGAACCTTGTGTTGAAATAGTAAAGCTCGAGCTGTCTCCAATAAGTGTCTATTTTTGTGCTCAGCAACCCCATTCTATTGAGGGATACTAGCACAAGATGACTGGTGTAGCATTCCTGCATCCTCCATAAACAGGTTCAAGGAACTTTCAAAATATTCAGCAGCATTGTCTGAACGGAATTGCTTAATCTTCTTGTCGAATTGAGTTTCAATCATTTTACAAAATGCCATAGTTATCTGTGGCACTTCATCACGTCCTTTTAACAAGTAGATCCATGTGCATTGTGAATAGTGATCAATAAAGCTGATAAAGNCTTTTAACAAGTAGATCCATGTGCATTGTGAATAGTGATCAATAAAGCTGATAAAGTAACGAAAGCCATCTACAGAAA